ATTCACATAGTATATTTACATTTTTACTGACTTTAAAAACCAGTCAAAAGTCCTAATGTATAAAACCACCTGGTTCATGAAGATATAAAAGAGCATAGGAAATATGGTCAATAATATTGTAATAATAGTGTATGGTGCCAGGGGGTACGGGAAATATTGGCAGGAACACTTTTTAAGAATCACTGTCTGACTGAACACTGTACACATGAAACTAATACACAATAATACTGAATGTAAACTGTAATGAAAAAAATTTTAATGAAGTACTGATAAAATAAAAAATGTGGATGAATCATTACGGAGAGAAATTTTACACACGAGCACATATTGAGAAATTCCGAATAAATAAATAAAACCTCCTGGTTCACATATAGACTCAGAGGTTATAAATGGAAACAGAACTTCATTATTTTTCTCTAACAGAGTACCATGAACAATTGGTATTTCTAATCTGTGGCTTATTTCTTACAAATATCAAGTATAACAGCTTTCCAACGAGTAAATGTGTATGTCCAAATGAAATGAAAGAAGGTAAAATGTACTTTATATTGGTTCTCTTCCAAACTGATTAGAAATGGCCCTTAACCTAGAAATTGTGAATTCTAAATATGGGTTCACTAAGAAAACTACAAAGGCCCTTGAAAGGCTAAACAGATTTACAAAACTATGGGAGATATATATATATGCATTGTTTATATATCTGTTATATTCATACATTTTTCTCTGGCTTACATATTTCTAACAAAATCACACACCGCTTCCTCCGCAAACAGAGGGCTAAAAGCAGGCCTTGGGCCAACTCAGATAAACAGAGCCCCCCCCTTGCGGAGGTTTGTCTGAGCTGGAGACTTCATTAGTGAAGCACCCCCTCACAGACAGCACTCCCAGTCTAGCCTGGGGGTCCTAAGTGAAATGACTCTGTTGGTTTCAGCTCAATGCTTCAGGGAAGGGGTATTTGCCATGGTTGGCACCTAGGAGCTACACAAACTAAATTTAGATTACTCAATTCAGTTTCCTTAATCAGAAAAACAGGGCAAGTGGGTGTGGGCTCAAGGCAAGAGAAACAGTGACTGTGTGAGGCAAACAAATGATTACTCAGAGAAATCCCATCGGGTGTCCCCACAATTGGTTTATACCAGAGGCCACCCAACCCAGGCCAATGTGACAGGCATTTTGACTTGCCCCTTAACCCCACACAGCCTAAAGCACCCTGGTGGTGATGGACTTACTGGTGCATCTGCACTCACTTCTGAGAACCCACTACGAGCAAAGCAACTTAAAGGCTGGAAACATCAAAACGAATCCAGACTGTCAAGGAGCTCATCACTTAGGAAACAAATGCAGTGTGTGCGGAGAGCCCATTGCATCAGGCACGTGGTAGGCACTGGGCCTGCAGCCATGAATTAGACCGTCTACTTTCATGGCGCTCACCTTCCAGAGGGCAAGGCAGGCAAGATACGCAGTATACTGTCAGATATACTGACACAGGGGAGATGCTAGGACGAGAGGACTGAAAGCCTCTTAAAGAAGTAGTCAGCCTGCCCTGGCTTTCCCCCGCTGCAGTGCGCTAGGAACCACGAGTGAAAATGTAAGAGGCCAAGGAATGGAGAGGCAGGGACTGCTGGTTTCTGCGGTGCAGTTGGACGTGGCCTCTCTGCAAAGGTGGCAGTAGACAGGGACCTGGGGGAGTGAGGGAGGCTCTCTGTGCAGGGGCTTTGCAAGACACCTTTGAGACTCGAATTAGTTTCCCGGGGTTGCTGGAATAACGTGCCACAAACCAGGTGGCTACAAACAACAGAAATTATTGTCTTCTGGTTGTGAAGTCCCAAATCAAGGTATCAACATGCTCCCTCTAAAATCTGTTGTTTTTGTCCTGGCCAGTTTGGCTCAGCACTTAAGAGCATCGGCCCTCAGACAAAGGGATCTTGAGTTCGATTTCCAGTCAAGGGCAGTACCTGGATTGCAGGTTCGATACTTAGCCCCTGTTGGGGTCATGCAAGAGGCAACCAATCGATGTGTCTTTCTCACATAGAGGTTTCTCTCTCTCTCCTTCCCTCCCCTCCACTCTCTCTAAAAATCAACGGAAAAATATTCACAGGGGAGGATTAAGAAAAATACAAAATCTGTTGTTTTCATATTGTTTTTTTGAACCCAAGTGTTTTATGTTGCAGACAGAACAGGTACAGCTATCCAACAGGAAGGTTTTGAGGTCATCTACATCAAAATGAGGATCAAAACTAACCGTTCACTCATTCATTTTTTTTTTTTACAGAACCATTTCCAAATATTTCATCACTCTCCTTGCTAATTGTCCATCCTAACTGCAAATCATTGAACTTTTCTTCTCTTTTGCTTATGCCACTCCCTTTTGATTTGTCTTCAAATGCAGAATAAAGACCTTTGGGTAAAGACGGGATTCCAAAACATAAAATGTCACTCCCTCCCCCAGAATCGACTAAAATGTCAATTTTAGTGTTGGTGTTGGTGGTGTTTTGTTTTCATCCACAGACTAAAAAGAAAAGTGAACCACAGCAACATGATTGTGGAAGCTGGAAGGGAGAGGGATAGGTACACACCTACCCACACACTTTGAGCACTTTCATCTCCAACTCGGAACTCTCAGCAGATAACCAAGCACCACCTGACATCAGGGAGAGCCTCCAACAAGAACACAGACCCAAACAAACAGTAAAAACCAACATGGAGAAAAGTGGGAGGATGTGGCCATGGCTGCAGGGCATTGCGGAGGGACGGTGAACGCGTGTCACTTGAATGGCAACAGGACTAGCCCCCCCCCGTCTGTGGTGTATCAACGAAAAGGCCCACATCAGGAACAGGCTGCAGGGAGCAGAGGTGAGAAATAAAAGCCTAGTGGGAGGAGGGTGCCCGGAGAGCAGGGGCTCAGGACCAGCGAGTCTGTGAGCTGGAAACTCGGCAGGGACGTGGGAAAGGTTGACACCTGGCCCACGACAACCACACACTGGGGATTGAAAGCCCACCTGTGTGAGGTCTGCTGCTCACCGGGCTCAGTTCGCTGGCTGAAGTCACCATGACCTTGACTCCCTTACCCCACCTAATCGCAAGCTCTCCCTCAGTATTTAAAACTCTCAATTAATTCACACAAATAAAATGTACGATCATTGAATCTAACCCCATCACCTAAATTCTGACCAAATGAATTGCCTACTTGAATCCAATTACAGTTCATCCACATTCTTACAAGTATATATTTTTCTCCCCTTTATTGATTTTAGAGAGAGAGAAAGTGAGAGGGAGATAGAAATATCGATGACAGAGAACATCGACTGGCCGTCTCCTGCATGCCCTCCACTGGGGATTTGACCCACCACCTGGGCATGTGTCCTGACCAGAAATCGAACTAGTGACCTCTTGGTGCATGGGTTAACGTTCAACCACTGAACCACACCAGCTGGACTATACGAGTATTTTGTATTTAAAGATAGGCCAGCTCGGCTGGTGTGGGTCAGTGGTTAAGCTTCGACCCATGAACCAAGGGTTGTAGGTTCGAGTCCTGGTCAGGGCACATGCTGGGTTGTGGGCCCAAACCCAAGTGGGGGGAATGCAGGAGGCGGTTTACGGATGTTCTATCTCATCAATGTCTCTATCTCTCTCTCCCTATCCCTTCCTCTCTCTCTAAAAAGAAAGTCAGTAAGTGAAAAATTATAAAGATACAGGCAAAATATACTACAAAAGCCTCATTTCCATCTGTCATTTCACTTACTGCAAAGTAAGATATAATCTAATGTGTTCAAAAATAACACACACAAAAAATTAACAGAAATGTAAATTAGGGCCCATACCTAATTTTAAAAAATCATTCTATTTCATTACCATCTAATGTTAGTAATACCCACTAAATTTAGCAATATCTAATCTGGCATCATTAAAATTATACACACATGAAAAATAAAAAGATAAGAAATGCAAACACATGAGATGTTCAGCTTTTAAAATAATTAAACCAGCAAAGAGTTTTAACATGTATCCATTTATTGATTGCTGGGGATACAGCTGAGAATACATTACAGGCATTTTGGGGGATAAGTTACCAAATCTGAAACAAAGCCATTCAAAAAGCCCTCTGGGAGTTAATAAGGGATAAGGGAGTACAGATTAGATATGAGGGCGAGGTAGGGACGGCTCAGTCACTTGTCATTAAGATCTGGCTGCAAATTCTTTAGAACTAATTGATTCCTAATTAGTTAGGAGCTAGCAGGGAGGAGGGGAGATCAGTCTGCCTTTACTGTAAATAATGCTAGGAAGGATGCTGTTCACAGAGCTACTGAAAATAAATTTTTCCTCCTCAAATTAAGGCAATCACATGTTTTAAAAATTCTTCCGTATCAGTGCATGTGTCTCGGAATTTTAAGCAGCTATACAGATTTACAGAAGGTGAATAGCTGATACAAGAGACTATTCATTTGATTCCAGTACCTACTGTTGAATTATAGTCTAAGACTAGCAAATTTTTACACCGTGGTGTCAATCTTCCCAAGATGTTTAACTCATTGATACAATAAAATGATGCAAATTAAAGAATTTCAGTTATATTTAAAAGGACAGAGTTTAAGTAAGCAGAATGTGTTGGACCATAATGAAAAACTGTTTAATTATATATATGGTGCAAAAATTATAATCTACAATGAGATAAAATGTGTTCTACCAGCAGAGTTACCTGCCACGTATTTCTCCCAAATTTTGTAATGGATATTTCTTCTAAAATGACATTAATGTCACCCTATGTGCCAGTGTTCTGGACTGCTATCTGTGCCGGGGGAATAGAAAGCAAAGAGAAAACAGAACCCGCTACGTCCCCGTGAAATGAAGGAAGGAAGATCTGCCCTGGCCAGACTGGCTCGGTGGTTAGAGCGTCGGCCCACAGACCAGAGTCCTGGGTTCGGTTCCCGCTAAGAGTTGCGGTTTGTCCCTGGCCCCTGTTGGGGTTGTGTAAGTGGCAACCACTCGAAGTGTCTCTGTCACGTGGATGTTTCTCTCGCTCTTCCTCCCTCTCTCCCTCCCACTCTATCTGAAGACACATGCAGAAATGTCCTCAGGTGAGGATAAAAAAAAAAAGGGAAGATCTTGGCTTTTGTTCTTCAGAAGGAGGCACTCTGTTGCTCTCAGGAACTGCGTTCCTGCCTTTGGCTTCGGGAGGAATCGGTTACGGCCGGCAGCGCTGGACAAAGCGAGGGTATAAGCACACATCTCGGATGTGGTACCTGTTCAGAATCCAGGTTAAGAATCGTTCCAAGCCCAGGCCATATCCTCCATGAGGACAGGTGCCATATTTTCTCTGTTTAAAAAAGAGACAGAAATATGCTTAGCTTACCTTTTTTCTTAAAATAGTTAAAATTTTCTACTGTGAAATGAGTTAGCTTATTGTGGTTAAGAATTCAATCCTTAATCCATATACCTTCATGCACCACATGTGAAGAAATATGCAAAATAAACCAGGGATTAAGTGACAACTTGCAAAGAAGAGAGTTCAAACTTTTAAACTAAGTCAATGTTTCCGGTTATAAAACAAAAATGAAAATAGCACAAGATATTGGATCGAATAACAAAAATTTAAAAACTCAGTAGCGATCAGCAAGGCCAGCAGTTAAACAGAGTTTCATATGAGGTTACCACATTATTAGCAAAAACCAAAATTAGCAGTATTCACATAACACATTATTATAACCATGAAGCTGAATGCTGAATACAGCTCTTCAAATGACAGAGTCACACGCTGAATCTGTTCTTTGAAATTTCAATGTATACAAAATTATTACAATGAAAACATTTCAGAGTATTTAAAAACCGGTTTTTACCTGATCTGTGTACCAGTAATAGGGGGTGGGGTCAATTTCTTCCCTTTTATAACCTGCCAGTATTTCTTCACTATCCCAGATACGCATCGAGCCTCCCACAATCTCACCAACATTGGGCATCAACACGTCGACCTTTAAAAACAAGTCAATCACATGCACTTACCACCAGGCTATCAGTCATGGCATTGCTCTAGAGTTTAAATGAAAATCACAATTAAGCTCCTGTAGCGATAGGAGTACTATGATCAGGCAAAATTCAAATGTTATCAAAATTCTATAATTTACAAGGTATGTTAAGCCCTAATAGAGGGCAAAAACTTCTTAAAATACTGACATTCTAGATTTATAAGGAAATATTTGCAGTGAGCTCTCCCCAGTGACAGTCCCCACCCCCCTGAAAAGCAAAATAACTGATACAATTGGAATCACAACTGACTGATTCGGTGAGGCGGGAATCCTCGGGACAGCGCTGCATATAGAAGGACTTGATCTCCACAGGAAACCGACACAGCAAGATGGGCTCATTAATGGTGTCTGTCATCAGTCTCTCAGGGGCTTCTGGGATATCCTGAGGTGAAACGAGTCTTCATGAACATGAACAGCTCGCAGTGCAAGACACAGAACCAGCTCTTTCACCCAGCAGCTGCCCTTCATCTTCTTCATGCAACACGGGAGGTGATGCACCCCCACCAGAACCCATACACGCAGGCCAAAGGGACAACTCCTCTCACAAACATATCAATATATTAAAAACTCACAGGTATTAGTAAATGAACTGTAAAAAGGTCTGCCTCCTTCTACAGTATATCACACGTGCCCCACTGCTTACAGAATGAACCCCTCAAAAACAAACAAAGACACCCCCAAGTCATTATCACTGTGATAAGATACTGCAGTCATTTTGTCAGTGGCCAGTTTCATCTCGCTCTGCAGCACACGTGGCCCACTGCGCCCCACAGAGCACGAGATCATCTGTGAATGCTCCCACACCACTGATGTACACACAGTGTATGTTATTAAGAACAACAATCTTTAAACTCTCCTGGTATCTGCACTTCTTTCCTATAATAAATATATATGCCTACAATGATAGTAAGGCACAGTCATAAGACAAATAACCAATGTCAAACTTTAAGTATAACCACACCTGGAATAGTTAGCCAAGAATCGTTAGATAGATGATGACGAATCTGTTTCTCTCTCAAAACATTCTTCAGTGAACCACACATAAATTTCAGTAAAAACTCTTGTCCCAGTAAAAACTGATCAAAGAACTGGACAAGACTCATTGATTTGTTTAACGCAGGAACGGAAATGGAGCTCAGCAATCAGCTGGCCCTGCTAATTGAGCCCTGTGCTCGCTAAAGTATAGACAGGGGATGGGAGGTAGGTGGGAGAGCTCCTTTCTCACATTTCGTCTACTTTGCATACAAGAGATCTACACAAGGTTTAAAGGGGGGGGGGCGGGGAGCGGTCTTATTGTATATTGCAAAAAGTCTGAAGACCATTTAGCTACTCTAACGTCCTCATATGTATGGGTGTAGAGTAAGGGCTGTCATGCTCCAAGGGCTCCCTGGGCCAGAGACCCGCTAGGCATTTTGCTCACTGAGTCCTCACAACTTTGCAAAGTGGATGTTACCTCCAAAGCAGATAAGGAACCAGACAGCAGGGTACTGGCCTTCAGTTATACAGCAGTAAGGACACAGGTGGGAGCTAAGCCCACCTAGGGGGGCCTTCTTACTCCAAAACTTGTATTCCTTCCACTCAATCACACCACTTTGCTAAATATTAGATAATAACAGTTCCCAAGTTTTCAGTACAAAATTCTACAACACATCATCAACTGAATTCATGAAACAAAAAGAGTAATTTATATAGGTCAAATCTACGGTTTGTCCTCTCTGTGAATTCCTTCTAAAAACAAAAAAAAATCCGCCCTGGCCAGTTTGGCTCAGCGGTTAGAGTGTCGACCTGCAGTCCAGAAAGACCTGGGTTCGGTTCCCGCTGAGGGCACATACCTTGGTTGCAGTTGGTCCCTGGCCCTGGTTGGGTCGTGTGGGTGGCAACCACTCAATGTATCCCTTTCACATCGATGTCTCTCTCTCTCTCTCCCTCCCACTCTATCCGAACAAAAAAAACAAAACAAAAAAACCTCGAGGTAGCAGTAGTTACATTTTATCTGTAGATTGGGTTTGCAAATACTATCTAAGGAATGTTTAAAGGCACAGAGAAAGGGCTTAGAATAGTGTTAGCAATCTATACCTCTGCCCTGGCAGATGAGTTGCTTAGAGCGCCATCCCAATTCCTCAAGGTTGAGGGTTTGATCCCTGCTCAGGGCACATACAAGAATCACTCAACGAATGCATAAATGAATGGAACAACAAATCAATGTTTCTCTTTCTCTCAAATCAGTAAATACAAATTTTAAAAAACCAAAACAATCTACATCCCCAATTCATGCTAGTAGGCTGGCCGCAGGCAAAACAGATCCACACACAGTTTATCTGGCTGTTTATTCTTTGAATTCCTTCCACATGAAGGAATTCTGATTTACTGCTTTGGGGGGAGGACTCCTTTTGGAAAGAGCCAGATACTTTCTCCATACAAACAAAACAAGTACATACACATGCCAAAATTTTGCATGTAATTTTACAGTTCACAACTTTCTGAAGCATACTGCCAGCCTACAAAATTACAACCAGAGCTCATGATTAATCACAGAAAAAGAGAAAAGAAGCGAAGGATGAGTTGTGAAGGCTAAAAACTTGCTAATATTTATGGAACACTACAGAAAGGCACTGTTCTAAGGCTTAGTCTACATCTTCAAGTCAATGCATCCTCAGCCAACCCCAAGAAGGTCTGTCACCATTTATTTGTCAGCAAGCAGATGCCTCCTGCATCTCTGATTAATTAAGCAGAAGTACCAATCCACTGAAGCACAATGCTGCCTTTGAAACAATCAGCAAGGAATACATACCTCTCCAAATTCATAGAAAGTTCCATCTTCTTTCTTTATATTGTGTTCTTTTAGCCACATAATAGCATCTGAATAGTTCATTCGTTTGAAAGGCCGTTTTGGGGGCTTGAAATTCTACAGTAGAAGGAAAAATACAGTGTATGTAAGAAACCATTAACACTAAAATTTCCATTTCAAGAAAAACTACTTAGCCTGGGCAGTGTGGCTCAGGGGATTGAGCTCTGTCCCAGGGACTGAGAGGTTCCGATTCGATTCCAGGTCAGGGCACATGCCCAAGTTTCAGGCTCAATCCCCTTTGGGGGCGTACAGGAGGCAGCCGATGGATGTTTCTCTCTGTAACATCCATGTTTCTATCTCTCTCTCCCTTCCTCTGTCTCTAAAAAAACTCAATAGAAATCAATAAAAATAAAAAGTTCACGAATTCATTTCATCTATAAATACCAAGGGTGAAAACTTCATTTCCTTTCAAGTAAGAATCATAATTTTGTATTTCCATAAAACACTAGACTTACCGGGTTGAGTTCATACACTATGCTTGCTGCAGGTGATTTCAAGACTCTATCTACCACGTCACAAACCAAGTCCTCCAATCGGTTCAGGAGGTCCTCAAAGGTCAGGAAAGGGCACTCTGCTTCCACGTGGGTGTATCTGAAAGGGAGACACTACCTCAGAGCTGCTCTTCGTTTCGACTAAGTTTCTCTCGAGCAAGGATTTTAACACTGGGATACTGTCCAGAAAAGTAAAATTCCATCCTTGCTAAACACCCCCAATTCTGCATACTAGTCTTAGGCTACACACCCACTTTCCCCCCTTTAAATAATGAACTTTTGGCATAGAGGGTGTGGCTCAGTGGATGGAGTGTCCTCCCACGGAATGAGAGGTCTGATTCAGTTCCCATTCAGGGCACGTGCCCAGGTTTCGGGCTCAATCCCCCCTAGTGGGTGCTCAGGAGGCAGTAGATGTTTTTATCTCTCCCTCTCTCTATAAAGACATAATAAATTACTTTGCATTTAAAAAAAATAAAATAAATAATGAATTTTTATTCCTTAACACATAAAGGATCAAGGTAAGTCGAAGGAAGGCCTTAGCTATCAATGGCCTAAAAAGCAAAACTTCTCACACAGTTTTAATTAATTTATTCAACTGTCCTTCATCTATCCTCTATTTTAATTTTTTTTCTTTATTGATTTAGAGAGAGAGGAAGGGAGAGGGAAAGAAAGAGAGAAACATCAATGAGAGAGAACATCAACTGGCAGCCTGCTGCGTGCCCCCCCCCCCTGGGGATCTGGCACACAATCTGGGCATGTGCCCTGACCGGGAATCAAACCGGTGACCTCACGGTGCATGGGTGACGCTCAACTATTGAGACACACCAGCTGGGTCATATACTCTTCTTTTACACCAACACATTTATATAGAGACATCCTCTTCCAACATAAAGATTGTTGTCTAAACACATTTTCTCTAAAACTTTTATAAAAATAAAAATACAATTCATACTCAGCCAGGTGCCTTCGTGTTCTGGATTGTTCTGCCCTGTATGACTGTGCGATACAGAAAACATCTCCCAGAGCCGGGATGCAGGTCTCCAGGTACAACTGAGAGGACTGGGTCAAAAAGGCCTCTTCCCCAAAATAGTCAAGCTTGAAGAGCGTAGCGCCACCTTCCACTTGTGTTTGCACTAATGTTGGAGGAGTAACCTGTGCAGATGAGAGGGGGTCAAGAAGGCCTATTGTGAGCACCTCCATTCAGGCATGAGAACGGCAAAGGGTATCACTGCGGAAGGTGACGAGTGCACTTACTTCACAGTACCCCCTGTCAAAGAAGTGATCTCTGAAGCACCTGGTGACCATGGAACGTGCTTTCAGGATTTTGGACATGTTTTCTCCTCGGATCATCATGTGTCTGTTGTTGAGCTGGACGTCTACGTCAGACTCCTCGTTGATCAAGTTATCAGCTCCTCCAGCAGGGGCCAACCCGATCAGTTCCCAGAAGTCACAAATCAGCTCATGGCCTCCAGGGGCCTACATTTTTTAACAGGGAGGGAGAATGAAAGGGAAGGAGAAGGGAACAAAAATTTACAGCAGTAAGGACTGTAAATTACGTCAGAAAGTAATACATTCCAGTCTTTCTGACTCCACCTTGCTCCAACCTGCCCAGTTCCCAGAAATGGGGGTTAGAATCTTCTGCTTAGTGATGCACATAGATATGCTAATCGGTCAAGGATCTAACCTGTAGGCTAGGAGTTACTGAAACAACCTCCCTGCTCACCACTCGTCCCCAAGGAGATAAGGAAGGCATGTACAAAAATAATGACTGTTCACTGAAAGACTGATAGGAACCTCATGACTGGGACCAGGACAACCGCAGTCTGTTGAACAAAGCAAACAAGTTTCACCACCCTCCTTGGACCCTTGCTGGCGTCCACATGTCTGCAGTCATCAATCACCTCTTGACCTCAAAACTTGCCATTTTCGCCTGTTCCCTGACATAAAAGACACCTGAATCCTGTACTTTCTCAAGATGGTTCTTTAGGTCGCTAGTCTGCCATCACCTCGGCATGCTGGCTTTCTGAACAAAGTCGCTTTCCTCACCCAAACTCCTCGTCACTCAACTTATTGACTGTTGTGTACTAAGCTGACACTTCTAAGAACCTCATCAATTAGCTACCTTTCTAACAGACCAAATTATTCAATTTTATGTTGATATACTTAATATTCCTTTCAGAATAAATATACATACATGTTTTTAAAAAATTAGAAAGCACAACTGAAAAATAAAATAAAGTAATCCCACAACTTGGAGTAACTACTAACTACTAGTAACATTTTGGTATATCTTTCTAGCCTTTTCAACAATTTACAATATCATAGTACTCACATTGAGAAACTCCTTAAATGTGAATATTTTTCACTAAAAGCTGTTTCTCTTTGGAACATATGTATAGTAAAATTCAAATACTCCCTGATAATCCTATTAAAAGCAATTCATTTTAGAAGCCACATGTCACAGAATATATAATTATCTTGGTGCCAAACACTGGACAGCAAGTAACATCACAACAGCCACTCCAGTTACCAATCACATTAATTCCAAGGAAAATCCAGGGAACTTAGATCAGATGCTCATTCTGAACATAGGTGCTTTTGCATGAACTCTGACTCTCTTTTACCAATATTTCTAGCCTATTAGGTAGACTACAGGAGCCCCCTCTGATGGTTAATATGTCACCTTTGTTTTTTTCTTTCCCAGCCAATGAATACAACCACAGTAGTAATTATTTGAGCAACAATCACCAGCAAGTAACTGTAACTGGTACAGGTTATGTGCCTGCTGGCCAGGGAACAAACATTTCTCTGAATTCATATCAGATTATATTTGATTTTTTAAAAAGAGGTTTACAAATTCCATTCAGATATTTTCAGATTTAGATTACTGTTTTTTGCTGAAATTTCTGAGACAAGTGTTGAGTTTTTATTTCCACCTAGCTGAAAAATTATTCACACAAGCCACAGCAAAGTGGCTGCATTATGGCCCGTGAGGACTATTGAGAAATTCTGTAAGGCTGCAAATCCCTGAGTTTGTTACAGCTATGAGCTGTACAGTGGGATGTCACCAGAATAAAAATGGTGCACTACATTTAATAAGTGCATCATATTTGTGTATTTATATGCCAAGTACCAAACATACAAATAAAGCCTTAGAAAATAAACAAACACCAATGCACCAAGCGAGAAACTCAGTCCACTCACCTGCTTGCCCTCTGGGGTGAGGCTTAGCATTCCGTACACTGCAACACTACTCTCAGTGGACAAGACCACTCCATTGTAACACTGACACTATAAAAGATCAAGGTGAGATTTAGTTATTCATATTTACGTTGAAATATTCTAATGTACTGAGAGCAAAGGGGATTATTTACAAACAGATTATCTGGTCCAAAACTAGTAAAATAAGATGGCCACCAATTTTTAATATCAATAACAAGTAGCCATTCTTATAAAAGGTTTATCCGTATATAAATGTACACATATGTGTAAATAGATACTTTACATACCAATTTGGGCATAAATGACAGAGGCCCACATCTCTTAAAAATATCTGAAAAGTTCATTTTATTTTGCTTTGAAATTCAGAATGTTAAAATAGTACACAGAATCCATCTAGGCTATGATCATCAATACTTGCTAATATCATTAGAAGAAAAGTGATGGGGAATTTTATAATGGAGGGACCGGGCTATCAACATCAGAGCTCACAAGTCATAATAAAAACCCAACCAGACATTATGTTCATCACAATGATGACCCGGAAGAACACAGCTTTGCCCACTGAATGGTGGTGACCCCACCCCTCACATCTGATTAGACCTAACCTCCAGCTTACACTATACCTCAGGAGGCAATCGATCAAATCCAGACTATGAGAAGCTCCACATGACAAGCAACCAGATTTATTCCAACAAATAAATGTTTTCCATAATAACCATTTAAAATACGTATATAGATCCAAAAATTCCTAAAACTAAGAATAAAGGAACCTACTAAAAAAATCAAAATTTTAGCCACAAATAAGAGAAAATATTTACCAAATTATCTGACAAGACACACTGGAGATACCCTGTACCATCTCGCAACACCAGAAACATCAAATTCTTTCCTAAAAGTGAGAAACAGAAATGTATTGCAAGTTCACACTGCCAAGTGGTCCCCTTCCTCTGAAGTGTCCACTGGTTATATCACGACTCAGTATTTGTAAAGCATGTTATCTTCTTCATTGTGCTTTCAAGTCCGGCATGATCCACATGTCCACATGATCCACATGATCTTCATGATCATGGGAAAGCAAGACGGTAAACAACCTGAGAGGACAGATTATGTTCTATCACCCGCTATCCCTGGCAATGCTGACTGGTACTGTGCACTCAGAGGGAGGTGCAGAAATACTGGGGCACAGAATCAGTTTTTCTTATTGATGTCCCTTTTTAAAAAAATTAATCCTCACCCAAGGATATATGTTTTTGGAGACAGCGAAACATCAATGTGAGAGAGAAATATCAATAGGTTGCCTCCCGTACCCACACTGACCAGGGATCAAACCCACAACCTTGGTAAGTGCTCTGACTAGGAATTGACCTGCAACCTTTGGATGCAAGGGACAACAATCCTTACAAGCCCCCTGGCCAGGTAAAATGACCCATTGCTTTTTACAAATGATTTGCTAACCACTTACAATAAAACACATCTAATAAAATAATAAGAGAAAAAGAAAGCAAAACATCCCAGGGAGAAACAGAAAGCAATGATAAGAATTATAAGCATCACCGCTACTGCCGTAAGTAAGCTTCAGCTTTGGCTAACACTTTCTGCTCTTCATGAAAGAATTCAGTTCAGTCAGAAAAATATTTATTGGATACCATCTGATCACTGTGGTTGCTTACAGTTAAATAGGATTTAAATAATTTTTAAACTTTTAATAGTCATATTAAATAAGAACAAATTTATGATATAAATCACTATCTCCTCTAAAAAGCTAGCATCCAAAAATCAAAATACCTCCAAGTAAATGTTTTGTTGTTGGGTTTTTTAAAATTATTTTATGTGTTATTGATTTTTTAGAGAGAGAGAGATAAAAACATCAATGAGAGAGAGACATCTATTAGCTGCCTTCTGCATGCCCCCCACTGGGGAACAAGCCAGAAACCCGGGCATATGCCCTGACCAGAATTCGATCCAGTGACCTCTTGGTCCATGGATCGATGCTCAACCACTGAGCCACACCAGCTGGACCAAGTAAATGTTTTTACATTATTCTTCCTCCAAGACCTATGACATTTAAAAATGAAACAGAGAAAAGAAACACCATGTATTTACCTTGCCTACGCAGCCTGTGGACCCAGCCAAACACCTTTACTCTTTGGCCTCTGTATCCTTCTAATGCGTGAATCTTCACCTGTCAAAGTAAAACAAGTAACATTTAAACAACAGTGTCATTTATCACACATCAACTTTTTTTCTTTATTGATTTTAGAGAGAGAGGAAGAGAGAGGTAGAGAGAGATAGAAACATTGATGAGAGAGAACATCAACTGGCCTCCTCCTGCATGCCCCCACTGGGGATTTGGCACACAACCTGGGCATGTGACCTGACCGGGAACCAAACCAGTAACCTCTTGGTGCATGGGTCGACGCTCAACCACTGAGACATACCGGCCAAGCCCCACGTCAATTTTTCACTAATATTAGATGGCAGTAAAGTATTAAAAATTCGCTTATGCTGCTAAACTACAGACTAGTTACTCTACTGCAGGTCAGAAACAAAAAATTTCAGTATACTGAGTGCTTAAAAAAAAATCTGACTCTTCTTTCTCTTACTGCAAAACCAACAAAGAGAAACACCCTGAATTACAGGTTTGGCTACAGAAAATCAATGAGTAAATGAATTCACAACAACAACAAGCGAAGTCCACACAGAACCTTTCCCTGACTCTGGGAGGCGGAAGTTAAGAAAGGCTAGCTAGCTTTTTGTTTGGGGGATCAAGGAGAGAGAAGATGAGTAAAGGGGCTGGTGAACACAGCCAAGAAAACAGCTTCATTGCTGAGGGAACAGGGCAAATATGATAATTCATCAACAACCAGAACCATCTGAAATCAAAGCATGCCCACTCACAGTCCAGCATTCTGTTCTAGAAACAATAGAGCAGAAAGCAATTTCATAAAATCACAAAGCTTTGTATATGTTTAAAAAATCAGGACAATCATGGGTTTCCATGTCTTCGTTTCACAGTGAGCGAGCGGACACGGGGAGGGGAAGATCACCGGACCAACAGCACGCAGCACAGCCAGGCTGGATCCTCGGGCTGCCAGTTTGCGATCGAGCCAGAATTCGTTCAACTTCATAAGAAAATGAACCCCAACAAGAACCACCAACCTCAAAACTCTGAAACATTGCTTCTCTCTTCCCTTCTAAAAGGAAAGACAGAAAATACAAAGGAACAAACCACCGAGCAGCCCCACGATACTGAAACAACAGTTCGACGTGTTTGCAAAAATACATGTCACTCTTACACTTTTTGGCTTGGGAAGACTTGGGTTGTTTTCAATGGTAATCTTCTTTGCTTCTTCCAGGTTCTTTTCTCTTCTCAAATTGTCTTCTGCCTAATTTGAATGACAGAGCAAGTTGTTAACTTGGTTGCTAGTGTTCCAGCATTTCAAATGTTCACAGCTGCAAATTCATTGCTCACGTCTTTCTTTTCCCGGGATTCATTCTTCATTTGCTCCCTGTGCCACATTTTCCTGATGTTCTTCATCTGTGATTTAGAAATCACATCCCACCGCTGGAGAGGAAAACAGGTATTTAATTCTTCAAGACCTCTGTGTTCTGATGGAAATTTATTCAGAAAATAAAATGCTGTCAAGTCTTTGGGTCACCGTACCTCATTTTCTTTTTGGGAATCTACGTAAATGGTAGGAAATGGCTCTTTTCCCACTGTCATCAAAGCCTTGGGTGGGAGAGAGAAAAAGAAAATGCCTTAACATTGTACAATACTTGAGATCAAAATAACACCGTAATTATGGGGCAACTTCATCCATCTACAACATAATCAAGAGACAAGCAGAGCCATAAAGAACCCATGACTCAAAACTCAATGTTGACAGAATGACTGCTTGAAGTACTAAGAACATTTTGCTTAGCCCTCAGGTCCTTTTGCAACAATTCTAGCAAGTGCAGTTACATAGTATAGAGTTCCCTGCACAAGCCCACTAGAAGCAACAGATTTTAAGCGGCATAAGGACCAGAGGGAGGTATGCTGACAATAGGAGACAGCTAACAGCAAAAACCAATTACAGATCACATCTATATGATTAATCCTCGCCAAGAAACACGTAAGTCAATTCTGAAACTCTAGGAACAAAGTACTTTGAAAAATTACCGTTGGTAGAATACCTCTTTCTCTAACACTGGGACACAGCAGGTATTTAATATTTTATAGCTTGTATTTTCATAAAATAGACAAATGAAAGTATGTAAAAGATAGCTGTTTTATGAACTGATTCAAATATTCCTTCAAATTTTCTCCCAAGTTATTAAGTCAGCCAAAAAATGTAAAGAATTCCTCTCTCCAATCATAACATCTGAAGCTTACAAAAAATGACCTTTTCTAAAGGTCTAGCTTCCAAACCTAAAAAAACACCTTTCCTCTTGTTTTAACAGCAGTTCCAATTCAATGATTGGTACACAGGAGGAGGAATCCTGGATCTTTTAAAAAACATCCAAGAACTCATCTTTTTTAACAATTAGACTTTGTAGGGAAATTTGCAAATCATTAGAAGTTCACTTAATACCTGACAATCTCTACTGATCCCTCCCTTTATATCACTGAACTTGAAGGAGCCAAACTCCCTGAATCAGAATGGCACACTTTTGCTAACTGCAACATTCTACAAACAGTCACCGAAATAGTGTTGTCAGTACGGGGAACCCAAGTCATACCAACAACCCTGAAACAAAGGGAAGATTTTTCCCCTAAGAGTTCAAAAGTAAGACCTATCTATTATACAACAAAGCATGACTAGAGAGAATTCTGCCGGGACAGGAACATTTGATAATAACCTAAGAAGTGTTTTGACATAGCTAACAAAAGGGGGATTGGCCGGGCCTGTGTAACTGAGAAAAAGTGATTATAATTTTGACAAGAATGAAAAAACTGGCCATTTAACCCATTGGGGAGACATAAAGACACCTTCTGAAAATGTTCAAGTAAGTTTAGACTTAGATCTAATACCCTTAAAGCTACATATATCTGTATACAATTTTTATTTTACCTTTGTCTGAAAACACTCCTCAAAACCTAATCCTTGAAATAAATTATGGACAAATCACATGATAATTGAGTAATTCACTAATAAACAAAATTGATTTCTTACGAGATGAGACACTACCTTTAGACCTGTTTTAAAAGGTTTCTCCTTGGTTCCATCACCTGTAGCATCATTTCCCTCTCGCTCAGAGACGTACAGCTCTGCTGTTTTACAAAACAAGATTACGTTACTTATTTGGACAATAATTATCGGTCATCTCATACTTCAACTACTTTATCCATTCTTTATCTCTGTAAACAGAACAAGCATCTGATTTACTGCAGTAAAAAACGGCCACAGTCCAAAAGATACTATCACAATTATTTTGCTACATCTCTATTGCAATGACTTCCATCTCATAAACACATACTAGTTACAAACTTAACTTTTCAAAATGAACTTTGATCCCTTTAATTTGTCATACTGCTTCCATCCCCTGGAGTGTCCAGTAGTAAAGAGGGGCTTTCAAGTTGGCCAGACCAGCCTGGAAACTTAGGATGTTATACCCTAAAAGCAAGGGTCACACGGGGGAATGCCCTTAACCTTTCCAAGGTTATTTCTTTGCTTATAAAATAGGGAAAACAAGACCCATCTTTAAGGGCTGTACTGAGGGCAAAATAAAACCGCACATTCAAATCAGATACCCCAGTGCCAATGTACAGATTTCAAATAAACACCAGTTCCTCTGGTCTTTAAGAGATAAACCACAGAACTTATATGCACGTATGCATAACCGATGGGCATAGACAACAAAGCTGAGGACAGGGTGGGGGTGGGGGACGGTTGGGAAGGAGGGTGTCAATGGGGGGAAAAGGAGAAACATCTGTAACAAAAATAAATAGGAAAAAAAAAAAAAGGAAACCTAAACTCCGAGGTGAAACACTGCGGAAGGCCTCACGACTAGGAAATCTGGTGTCAACCCAGGCCTCGTTTTTCCTTTTCTACTGCCCGGTACGGTCGGCCTGGAATCCCCAATACAAACGAGGTGGTCGGCCTGGAACCCCCAATACAAACGAGGCTCTGTGAGAGGATTAGAATTCTAAGGCCTCTTCCCCACGGTCACTCTGAAGAGTGGCACGTAGGAGGGCTGCCCTCGTGTCCCACAGGGCCCACTTCCGCGGAATCACGGGACTGGCGTGGGGGGCAGGGCGGGGAGCGGGGCCACACGAGGCCCGGGACACTCGGCCTGGAGGAAGCGGGGCGAGCCCAGCAGTCCCGCCGGGCCCGGCCCTCCCCGCCCTCCCCGGATCATTCACGTGGAAAGAGCGGCGGCGCGCCCACTGTGCACCAGGCCACCAGTCAGTGCCGGTGGCAGGCCCGGACCACGGCCCTGCGCAGGCGGGGGCACCTGCTACCTCCCCCCACCCCGGGTCCCGAGCCCCACTTACCTAGGACCATCCCCGCGGTCGCCGCGGTCACCTCCACGGGCATCTTCTCCCAACAGGGCGCGGGCTTGTCACTGCAAGGCGCACCAGCGAACCTCTGGACTCCAGGGTTGCATCATATGACCTCGTGCCTCGGTCGCCGCGATGAGTCATCCGAGCGTCGCGGCGCCATTGGTTCTTGGAGGTTAGGGCACAAGGGCGAGCGAGGCTGTCGCCGCCATCTTTCAGCCTGGCAGAGACGATTTCCAGTCCAGGGGGCACCTGTCCTCGCCTGGCTTCCCCTCGCCCCGCCCCGCCCCGCCCCGCCCCGCCCCGCCCCGCCCCGCCCCGCCCTGCCTTCCCTCCCCTCCCCCTCCTGCCCTGCGCGGTCGGGGTAACCCGGTCTTCTGGGCGTCCCGGATCCAAGCCTCCCAGATCGCCAGACTCGCCCCGCCCCGGGCAGTAACCTGCTCCCTTCTGTCCCCACCGCCCTCCTTTGTACTTTCTGTGCTGCCCCCAGGTGGGGGTTCCAGGGCCCTGGGGAAGCCAGACCCTGGATTTTGGTCCATATTGCCAGGTATTGACATGCTCGTAGAATTAGTACCTTTGTTACCTGAACCTCAATGGTTTTTCTGGAGCCTGCCTGCCTGCAACTACTGGCCCAAAGAAATGTATGAGCAGAAGTTTCTATAAACAAAGTATATTGAAAGAAAATTTCGTTTGTTGAATTGGCCAATACTGAGGCGGAAAGGTAATGCTCAAAACCACCTTCCTGATGGCTGTAGGTTGCACATTATATGGGGCGAAATCAAGACACACTGAGTTAGGGGTTCAGGGTCGTGCTTGGAGCTGACTGGGTAGTGGTGACGTAAGGGTGATGAATCATTTCTTCAGGTCTTGAGGACAACTCTGAGGTCCTTCCCAGTGCTCCTCATCCAGTCTCAAGGGAAATTAGCCAGGGGGTTCTTCCACCTTAGGGCTCAGAACTAAACATAACGTAGGTCAAGATGTTAACTTTAGCCCTGGCCGGTTTGGTTCAGCAGTTAGAGCCTCGGCCTGCAGCCCAGAGAGACCCCAGTGCGGTTCCCGCTAAGGGCATGTACCTTGGTTGCAGTTTGTCCCCGTCCCTGGTTGGTCATGCGGGTGGCAGCCACTTAATATGTCCCTTTCACGTCGTTGTTTTTCTCTCTCTGTTCCTCTCTCTCCCTCCCACTCTGTCTGAACAAAAAATGGAAAAATGTCCTTGGGGTGAGTAAAAAAAACAGAAAAAGATGTCAACTTTAGTCTTTCCAGAATGACTCAAAGGTTGAGCATCAACGCATGCACCAGGAGGTCCTTGATCTTGTTTGTATATCTCTTTCTCTCCCTCTCCATTCCTCTCTCTGAAATAAATTATATGTATATATTTGTATGTGTATGTGTGTATATATATATATACATATGTGTGTGTGTGTGTGTATATATATCTTTTTTTTTTTTTTAAGATGTTATCTTTAGCCTGCCAGAGGACTGGACCTAGTGACCAATAGTCAATTTGGGGCTATTGTCTCCGCTGCCTCCAGATTGCTGATTATCTGGGGTGGGGGAGGGGAGGCTAGGTCTCTGAGGGGTAGAGAAAGAGAGAGAGAAAGGGAGATGATTTTTAGAGCTGGATGTAAAACTAAATTTGTTTTTTATCCTCACCCAAGGACATTTTTGCATTTATCTTCAGATAGAGCAGGAGGGAGAGAGGGAGGAAGAGAGAGAGAGAAACATCGATGGGAGAAAGACTCATCACTGGTTGCCACCCACAAAATCCCAACCGGGCGGAGACAAACTGCAACCGGGGTTCATGCCCTTAGCAAAACCGAACCCCGGTCCCTCTAGTCCGGGGGCCAATGCTCTAACCGCTGAGCCAAACCAGCCAGGGCAAAACTAAATTTAATCAAAATGATAGGTACCCTCAGTTTCTTTGTCATCAGATATATTGAGCACCAGCATTGAGGTGGGGTGGGGTGTGCGGGTGAGGAACATAGATAAGAGTAGTCCTAGCTCACATTCATTGCCTGTTTTGAAATATGATAGTTTAACTTTTTAACTTCAATTAATGAATATCATCTGTATTTTATGACTTGGACTACGGTATATTTTTATTTAAAGTTAAAAGGATCACTATAGGGAGGCCATAATAATGTTGTGGAGCCCTGGCCACAGCGGTTAGAGCGTCCGCCTGCTGTCCGGAGAGGCCCGGGTTCGGTTCCCGCTAAGGGCATGTACCTCGGTTGCAGTTTGTCCCCGGCCCTGGTTGGTCGTGCGGGTGGCAGCCACTCGATGTGTCCCTTTCACATCGATGTTTCCCTCTCTCTCTCTTCCTCTCTCTCCCTCCCACTCTGTCTGTACAAAAAATGGAAAAATGTCCTCGGATGAGGATTAAAAAAAAATAATAATAATCATGTTGTGGAAAGAACTAGGGCTTCAGTCTGGCTGGTGAAGCTCAGTGGTTGAGCGTCGACTGATGCACCAGGAGGTGGCCAGTTCGATTCCTGGTCAGGATACATGCCCAAGCTGTGGGCCAGATCTTCAGTGGGGACATGCAGGAGGCCACCAATTGATATTCTCTTTCGATGTTTCTCTCTCTCCCTCTCCCTCTCCCTTCCTCTCTCTCTAAAAATCAATAAAGGAAAAAAAATTTTTGTAAAACAAAAAACTAGGGCTTCAAACCTGGTTGGAACTCCAGTTCTGCCATTCATGAACTGTGTCTTGGGATAAATTACATAACCTCCCTGAGCTTGAATTTTCCTATTTGTGAAGGATGATATAAGTTCACTGCCCAGCAGCTAATAAGTGCTAAATAAAGAGTAGCTACATCATCATTCTCAACTTAGTGAAATACCAGAGTTTGTCAAAGGAAAACATATTTTTCTTATAAAAGAAATCTAAAAGTAACTATATAAAAATACATAGGTTCAGAGTGGAACAAGAATGTGAATTAAATATTTCTTCAATAATATTTTACTCAATTTCATAGAATTTCCCCTCCCTCTTTGCTGAATGTTTTCTGTTTGACCACATATTAATTATCTATTACTGCAAAGCAAATTACCCCAATCCACAGGAGTGTAAAACAATGAACATTTATACCTCACACAGTTCCCGAGAGTCAGGAGTTTGGTAGTGGTTTGGCTGGAGGTTCTGGCTCGGTCAAAAGGCCACAGTCAAGGTGTCAGCTGGGGGTGCAGTCATTGAAAGGGAAGATTAAGTCTCACCTGGGGTAGATCCTTTCCCTTGCTCGCTCAAGTGGGTATTGACAGGTTTCAGTTCCTTGTGGGCTGTTAGCCAGAGGTAACCCTCAGCTCCTTGCCATGTGGGTTCTCCACAAGGCAATGGAGGAGTTGTGTCCTCCGAGCAGTGAGGAAGAACTCCCCCAGGTTAATTTGAAGAGCAGTCATTACATCAGTTTAGCAAGTGATAGGGCTCTTAGGGGTCTCCGAGGCTCTGCTGACGATTTCTTGATTTATGAGGGTTTTGCTGTTGGAGCAGCTCAAGAAAGTATTTTCACCTGAAGCCACAAAATCCTAAGAAATAGCCCTGACTTGGACATACCCAGTTAATTGAAAAGAGCTCTTCTTGGTCCAAATTTACTCAAGATATTTTCAACAATGAACTCTTTTTTTTTCTCTCTTTATTGATTTTGAGAGAGAGAGAAAGTGAGAGGGAGAGAGAGAAACATCAATGAGACATAACATCGCATGGCTGCCTCCTGCATGCCCCCCACTGGGGATTGGGCCCATAACCTGGGCATGTATCCTGGCCAGAAAATAAACCAGCGACCTCTTGGTGCATGAGTCCACACTCAACCACTGAGCCACTCCGGCTGGACTAATGATGAACTCTTGATGCAAATTTTCCAGAAACTTGAATCAAAAACTCTACCTTTAGAAAGCTGAAGGCAGCTGGCACTCCCAAAGCTGAAGGTAACCCGAGACCTCCTATAGGATTTCCATAGGCTGGCTTATTCATTATGCACCTTGGCTCAGCAGAACCCCTTTAGAATGAAACTGCAAGATGACTCCTAGTGGGCAAATCCACCTCTGTTCTAAGGGTTAATCACCTGGGAGAACTGATCCCTAATGAGAAATACTGGGGTAAAGAACCCTCCCATGTTGGCCTCACAAGCCATATCCAGTATCTTTAATCCCTGGGTGGAAAAGAAATGGAGACATTCCATGGCTATGATAGCACTTTCAGATGACTCTGTTGTTTAAAAATACCAGGAGCTAAAAGGAAAATTGGTCGTCTCGTCAGCTGGGGATCCTAAACAGGTTGTCTGGAGTGAGTAGCCCATATCCTGAATTTGGCAGGAGCATCCTAGGTTTTTTAAATTCTTGTTTATGTTTTAAGTTATCTTTATTGTTTACTGTATTACAGCTGTCACCCCCCCTTTTTCCCCATTGACCCCCCTCCCCAATCCCACTCCGCCCTTGCCTTCCCCACACTATTTTCAGTGTCCATTGGCTATGCATATATGCATACAAGTTCTTTGGTTTATCTCACCCCGCCCTCCTTCTCCCCCTTCCCTTTGAGGTTCATCACTCTAACAACCAATTTGTATTTCGTAATTCCTTCATCATTTTACCAATTCCCCCCAGCCCCCACCATCTGACAGGCAACAAAAATGTATCTGTATCTATGAGTCTCTTTCTGTTGTTTGTTCATTTTGTTTGTAGACTCAATTGTTGATAGATATGTATTAATTGCCACTTTTATTGTTCATATTTTTCTTCTTCTCCTTCAAGAAGGCCCTTCAACATTTCATATAATACTCCTTTAGCTTTTTCTTGTCTGGAAAACTCTTCATATGTCCATCAATTCTAAATAATAGCTTTGCAAGATAGAGTAATCTTGGTTGTAGGTCGCTGCTTTTCATCACTTTGTATACCTCTTGCCACTCATTTCTGGTCTGCAAAGTTTCTTTTGAGAAATCAGCTGACAGTCTTATGGGAGCTCCATTGTAGGTAACAAACTGCTTTTCTCTTGCAGCTTTTAATATTTTCTGTTTTTGTCTTTAACATTTTGTATTTTGATGATGATGTGTCTTGGTGTGGACCTCTTTGGGTTTGTTTTGTTGGAAACTCTGTGCTTCCTGGACTTGTATGTCTGTTCTCTTCACCAAGTTAGGGAAGTTTTCTGTCATTTTTTCAAATAGGTTTTCAATCTCTTGCCCTCTCTCTTCTCCTTCTGGCACCCCCCTGATGCTAATGTTGGCACACTTGAAGTTGTCCCAGAGGCTCCTTACATTATCCTCATTTTTTT